CTAGACTGAAGAACAAAAGGACAGCAACTTGTCTGTTCCCCTTCACCCAATTCCCCAGCGCTGTTCCCATCCCCCAATTCCCCAATAAAAAATCTTAAGGAAAAAAAAAATCTCCATCAGAGAACTGTTCTGAGTTTTAAAAGAGGTACCAGAAATAAAGTGAGCATTAGAATTTCTGTTATTTAAAAGTTTCCTTTTGCTTTAAAATTTTTATTCTAGGAGGGATGGGAAGCCTTTGGGAAAATGGAGTAACAAGGCCTAATTTTATTTATGTGTGAAAAGATCACTCAGGCTTTTCCATGCAGCATAGATTGTAAAGAACAAGGGTGGGAGGGAAGCAGGGAGGCCAGGGATGGTCGTCTCAGCAACCCAGTCCCACCAAGTTTTAATTCCCTTTTTCTTCACTGAATGGGGACATGGAAAGAAACACAGTGAATTTCCTAAAACAACTTTTTCATGTTCTTCTAGGGTGCCCTGTCCCCATACCTAAGTTGCCAGTTGCTTTTTTGTAGATAAAGTCCTCTGGCTGTGCCAATTCCATCTGATGCTCATGCCTTATTTGGTTGAGTAAGAACCGCTTCCATGTCTGTGTGCCCAGGTGCTCACAGGGGAAGTTGTAGAAGCTCCATTTTTTTAGACACAGGTTTCTGGAAACAGAGTCACAATCCCATCAGGCTGCAGCTGGTCAGTTCACCTCCTTGGCATCACTGGTACACCACACGAACCTTTTACTCACTGTAAACTTCACTTGTGCCCCTCACAACACAACCACACACAGGCCTAGGTACCAATCCAATATCTTCCTCTCCCCTGAGAGACCCCTGCCTTCCCACCTTACTGTCCCCCTTCCCTTGCTCACCTCCATAGGCGATCACTGTCTGCAACCTTATTCCAGTACTGAGGGAGAGAAAGCAAGAGATAAGAAGGCAATCAAAATTATTATAAAAATATAATTTATTAAATTATTATTTTAAAAATTATTTAAAAAAATATCTTATTATCAAAAATAAGAGGTGGGCTCCTCCTCTGCTATCATCTATTCTGGGAGCCAAGCCCACACAGGTTAACCAGCTACCACCCAAGCTCTCAAAGCCCTCCCAGTTTGGGGCAACAGTCACATGGTAACAGCAGGGGCCCATCACTGCCAGAACAGGCCCCTGGTATTCCTGGGAAAGTTCAGAGTGGGTTTCCTAAAGCTTGAAATGGGAACCTTAAGAGCCATTTAATCAGCACAACTTCTTTAGATAAATTTTTCATTTAACAAAATACAAGGACCTCAGCGTGAAGGAGGCTAACCCCAAAACATTCAATGTATCACTCTGCTCTTCTGCAAACTGCTCAAATTGGCCAAGAGAAGCATCTGAGTCCCAAGGACATGAGTATATCCTGAATGGGCAGGCCTGAGCAAGGTGAATTTAGGGAACGAAGGAAGGTGGTGTGGGTAGCATCCTCGGTAGCCAAGATCCCAAGGCTGAGGGAGTGAGGTGAAAGGGGTCTTGGACAAGCACTGGCAAGGTGGACAGGTGTGGGGGCGGGGCTGGTCAATCAGAGCAGTGGACAGTGGAGTCCATTCACCTTGCTCACTTGGCCAGCCCGTAGCAAGTCGAATACGTCCAGGAAGGAGAAGACTTTGAACAACGGCACTTCAGGCAATGGGCTCTCCATTCTACGTGGCCCAAGCCCACATGCAGCCTCCTGTCTCCTCTACAGGAAGCTCTGAATTTAAAGGTTGGGCCCAAGTCTGCAGCACTCTCCACCCACAGCCCATCTGGCTCTGATAGAAACAGGCTACAGGTGCACAGATTCGCAGCCTGTGCTCCACTTCCGCCTCTGTCCTGGGGCCAGAGCCACACAGCTGAGGGCATCCCTCTGACACTCGCTAGTTAGCGTTAGTTGTTTAAATGCCTTCAACACCACCTTTTTTTGTTGTTTTGCACTGTGAACTGTAAATGTAGGACCTTGGGCAGCGCTAGTTGCTGATGAACTTGTCAGGACTCTAGGAAATTTCAACAAACACACATTTGTCAAATTCAAGTTTCTACGTACCTTGTTTAAGTTCCAAATCAGCAGGGTAAGGACTCGGCTTCCCACATTGATGTGTCTACTTTGGGACCTCAAATCTAGTCAGCAGGACCTGTCTCCCAGGACCAATACAGCCCCTGGCTTTCCGCCTTTGTGCATTTAACTTGCAGGGCAAGGGGAAAGTATGGGCCAAGCAGACAGGCCCATGGTGGCCTATGATAAGGGCACAGGCCTGGTCTGAGATGGTTCTCACAGCCGGTGCCTTTCTCTGTCAGCCAACACTTTTCTCCCAAGAACTTGACAACTGATTCCGGCCTTTTCTATAGGAGTCCCTCTGTGAGGATCAGTGGTGACGACCCCTCCTTAAACTGACTATAGGCTGACCTACAGCAGTGGTTCTCAGAAGTATCCTTTTTTCTAATACTACGTTATCCAAAATGAGATTGGGCTTGTTGGGGACCCTTAAATGTCCTCTTCCTCAGAATTTGGAATGGAAAACTTTTCTCATTGACAGGCCTGTAAATACAAACCTGACAACTTTGGGGAGACCACATTTTCATTCTATTGAATTAGGTTCATAGAAAACTGGTTTGAAGAGAAAGTGGTTTAAAGAGAAAGAAACTGTCATAAAGAACAAACAAAATCCTGGTTTAAAGAGAGATAAAGGGAGTCTTGTGGTATCTTCTGCATCAGTCATTCTAGTTCTTCCTAAGTCTTTCAGTTTCCCTGAACTATACCATTTTACTAATTATAAAATTAAAATAAAATCGCTGGTTGTTTGGTTTACCTAATTCAAGTGAATGAACCAGCTCTTGACTATTCACTACTTTTTTTTTTTTTTTTTTTTTTTTTTTTNAATCACATAATGGAGATTAAAACCTCTGACCAGCCTGCCCCACAAAGTTGCTGGGATGATCCCAAGAAATAAAACTTTCTAAGCCCCAAAGCACTCTTCTCCAAGATAGTTACTCAATAATAACACATCAACACTACTCTTTTTTTCTCAATGTGTCCCCAAACCCACATATCTCCCTCCATAGTCATTATCCAAGTTCATGGACTGTACAATAATACACACTTGACAGATGTGAAATAATTCAGGAAGGTTTTTTTTTTAAAAGAATGAGTGTGGAAATGTACCTGCGATAGAAAGAAAAGGCCAGGGTAGCATAAAGGCTTGTATGGCTAAAGTTCATTGGTATATTTTGACTCCCAGGGTATGTCATAGAGATGACTCCAAGAAGACAGACAGTGATGTGACGTGACAGAAATGGGGCCACCACAGCTGTCAAGGCAGCAGATATTTTGCCTTGTGGGTCGCCTCCACATGCAGGGGCCACTTACCATCACGAATGGGCCATCCTTTGTGAGAAAGGCTTCCAAGGAAAAACAGGCCTGAGGCAGGGTGAAAGCAGCCAGAGCGTCCTCATCCTGACAATTCCACACCTTGACCGTTCCCTCCAAATCCACAGTGAATGCAAGGTGCACCTGAGGGAGGGTCACCAGGAGCCTGATGCTAGATGGCTGGACTGGGCTTGACCAGATCATAGTGCCCTGGAGAACGAGAGTAACACTACATGTGTTCAAGGAACTCTTCACTCCCACTGTTTTCATTCTGCCAGTGTTTATTTGGAAGCCTCCTTCAAATCAGACCCCTTTCCTTCTTCTGGGAATACAACAAGAAAATTCTACTAAACATCTCAAGGATTTGAGGGGTAGTGAACACGAAAAAGGAACTATGCAATATATACAAAGGCAGGAACTTACTGCTTGACGGGCATAAAGACCAATCACACTCCCTGGGCTCAAATCAGTTCCGCCTTAGTAACAGTGTGACATTCAGCAAGTTACTTACCACCGTGACTTCTTATTGACTGTTGTATTACATTTCACAACGCATGAAATATACTTAGAATTCTGCCTAGTACATAGTAGGAGTTCAAAGGGTATCAACTATCCTGATAATCGTTATTCCATCATCAACCTTATACATTGCAAACAAGACAGAAGAGCTTCCCTTCTAGACTTTTCTTTAGT